GCATGGACTTCCAAATGCTCTATGGGGCCTACGTCAGACCGCTCCTGGAGTACGCCAGCTAAGTTGTCTACTCAGGACGTACGAAAGACGTTACCCTCATTGAGCGTGTCCAGCGGGCCGCCACGAGAATTGTTGCCGGCCTCAAGTCCGTGGACTACGAAACGCGTCTCGTGACGCTTGATCTCTTTCCCCTGGAGTGCCGTCGCCTCCGAGGGGACCTAATTCTTACCTACGCCTTGTTTGAACAAAGCTTGGCAAACAGGTTTTTTACCGTTTACCCAGCAAACACCCGGCGGGGACATAGTAAGAAAATCTTCAAGCTCAGGGCACACACATCCGTTAGACAAAACTTTTTTCATTTCGGGTAGTAGCTGCGTGGAATGATCTTCTTCCGACGGTTGTACACGCTCCTTCTCGAACCCAATTTAAAGCACTATTAGACATTTATTTATGCGGATCCTCGCGCTGGCGAGCATACTGCCCCGCGCTGAGAACATAAAGAGTAGTGCTACACCCTTTTTTCACTTGTGCCTTTCAGGTGAACGACAGCCACTGACCGACAAGAACAAAACCGACCCGGGAAACTTGGGCAAAAGCCTCGATCCTGTGTATCAATCCGTGAATCCGTGATGAAGTCCGGTTGTCTAGGTCGACTGACCTTCAGACAATGGACATGATCGAGCAGTCGCTGTATCCGAAGGTCCTGCGTTAAGTTAGCTATGCTAATCGTGGACTAGCTGGGAATCAGCAGGGATGCAAGACAGAAGCGGCCGCTACTGAATAAGCCGAATATCACTATTACCACAGCTTTTTGGTTTTTCACGTCTGTGACCTATGAGGAGTTCATGAAAGGCTCAGTAGGATTTCAACAACAAATAGAACCTTAATTTGGTTCATATGCGCGGCAGCAGCATTTTTAAGTGCTTGTTCCAGTCGCACACCGTCTTTGCCTAAGGTGTAACGTTTTTTTAAAATATAATCCCCGGCAACTTGCACGGTCTCTGCATGCATATAATGAGGGTGTTTTTGACACAAATCATTGATACATAAAGTGCTATTCAGTGACTTTGTAGAACTATACAGTCGAAAATGAAGTATTTATCGTGCAGGTCCACTTTGTATAGGACGAACTGGCGAGAAACACGGTCGGGCGAACCATGGGTCTGTAGATTCACAAGGGAGAAGACTCCTAAAAGGATGAACAGGGCCATTGGTGGCATAAGACCTCCCTGCTCCCCACCTTGAGGTGCAACAGAAGTAGTGTTGAAATGCTTGTCCACAACCTGCCACTTCAACCAGCTTCCTGATATTCACCAGTCGGCTTGCCGTGAAAGATAGTTCTTAATCGCTCTTTCAAAAGCCGGCTCGCACCGGACTTCTCTGATGCTGAGATTCCGATAGAGGGTTAATCTGTTTCCCTGGTTTACTCAAAGGTCGGGAGAGCAAGTAGGGTTTCTTTATATTTCAAAGCAGCCCTACCCACTCCCACTTTCCTCCGACAACACTCGTGCAAATTTTTGTGGTGCGCTGTGGATCCAAATTCCCCTGCGTGTGACCGACTCCCTTCTCAACATCATCTGCCATTGCCCTTCAAGACCACTTGAAAACGACCTGTTGCTCATAAAAGCCGTTGAACGAATATCTTCCACTCTCTATTTATCTTTTGCGGGTATACCTGCAGGCTTATTGGATGGACTTCCAGCACATCGGATTCAGTGCACATTTTGAATCGTCGCTAACTAAATTCGTTCAACAGCGCTTGGGTTCAATTTGTCAACATACCAGATGTCGCGCAGGCTAACTGCCATCCCTACCGGATCTGGTTATCACCAACGCGAAACACTTCGTCTATCAAATGATAATTAAAGCTCCTCTGAAACAGTGACCACAGTGTGCTGATCTTTCATTTCATCTGCCACTGGCCAGAAGTTCAGAACCTCAAATGTGGCTTCGGAAATTCTGCCGCACGTACTTCTCAGGAATCCGTGTTTTCCTTGACCAGGTTAAGCTGGAACTGGCTCCAGTGAAGGAGACACACATTTCCCTGAAGATTCCCGAAGCTGATGCGGTCTTCGTCCCAGCAGCGTGCAGTTGAAAGACCCAGAATCTACCCAAAAGCATTTGGTATTCTCCGCAAATGAGGTTCCAGCTCTTCTTCAACATGATCACCACAGAAGGCTCGCATGTCCTGATGGCACTCCGTAAAGTGCGGAACCGCTGTAAATCAGAAATCCGCCAATGGAATATAGAAGACAGGTTTCCCAAAAAAACAAATATACTGTTTAGGTACATGAGTTGCTCCTGAAGAAATAAGCCAATGGGTACAAACCGTAAACCAGTGAGTAAATCTGTATTGGTATCTAAGGCTCGAAGTCTAACTCAACGACATCACATCCAGTCTTGGCAAGGCGCAACCACTAACGGTCTCCAGCCAATTTTCTCTTCCAGGAAGATATTCATCAACTGTTGCACAATACAAACCCTTTCTGCTCGTTGGGGCTGGATGAGGCCATCCAAGGATCTTAAAGGAAACGGTTATACTGGCAAATCACTTCTACCTGGTGTTTCGTCAGTCGCTTGATGAAGACAATCTTTCCTCTACTTGGAAAGAAGCGATTGTCACGCCAAAACTGGTGAATGACTACCACTCAGCAGCTACAGGCCCATCATCCTCAATCACGTCCAGGTATGTGAACCGGTTGATAGTTTAACTGCAGCCAACAACCCTCCGACGTTTGTGATTGACACTCTTGGCAATTAAAACCTGTGCTATTCAGGGAGACGTTGGTGGCTCGATGATGCGTCGCAATGAGCAGATGAATTCACCATCCGGGTGATGTCTTGATGCGGTGGCAACATGCAATCTGGAGATAAGTTGGCGGAAAGTGATGGTGACACAATGTTTGCTGCCATTAGGCCGCAGCTGGTGAACGCTTCACGATCCCCTCCAAATGAAATTTCCATCTTACCACGTAAAACCTAGGAAATCGTGCACAAGTAAAATGTCGGTGCAGAGTTTTGGCATTACAAAAAGCTTCCGTTCATTGTAAGATGTACCTCTCTATCGGAAAGAAGCATAAGCGTAGGCGGTCGTTCGACAGGGTAGTAATGTAGAGGCCATTGTGATGTCTGAGAAAATTGGGTAAATTTTCCAATTATGTGGTTCCACGATGTTAGAATTAATGAAAATTCAAGAACTTACTGTATCGACCAGAGCACGGAGAGCGATGCCATTGACATCGGTTGTTGTGGTGGCACATGGCATGTAGATAGGCGCTGTTGCAACGAATAACGATAATAAAGTGAGCTTCATTGTGCAATTTGTATAAAACATTGTGGTATTTTTGAGAATAGACAACGTTTTGCTTGTTTAAGAACAAGCGTGGACGAGCTGAAATGTACATACAAAGATTCAGTGCAAGTACGTAGGGTATCAGAACCAGAGCCAGAAAGGGGTGATCCCATGCTGATCAGCCGCTTGTGGTCAAACGCTTCAATGTTCGAATTGCTAGGTAGGGATGGTAGGTTCGAAACTCCTTGGAGTTTGATGAGATACACACTGCTGATGTTTCTCAATGGGACGAGACAGCCGCACAGTGCTTCTCGATTTTCCAGCATACACTGTTCACTCACAAGAGGAAATCTTTTGGGAAGGACTTTTGCCACGGCAAGCAGCCGTGACCTCATATCATAATTAGACCAAACTGCCAAAAGGAGGCAACTGCCAGCAAAATGTTTAGCGAATAAAGCGTACCATCAATTCCTTCTACATTCTCGGTCACCGAAAAATGCGAGCTTCAGAGACATCCAAGCATTGTGAGTGGTAGCGTAATCAGTGATTTCTCGTTGAATTGCTGCGGGAAGTAACAGAAAACTGGATAGTTACGCATTGCAGACGGCAGCTTTGATGCAGGAGTACAACTGGTCACGCGATGAGATCAGATCTGCCAGTGTCATTCACCATTGATTAGCTGAGTCTCGGGGTTCCCACCCGGGGAAGTGGTTATTACCAAGTAAACCGAGTTTGCTGGATGGTGCTTTCTTAGGGAGTTGTCAGGCTAGAGATTATCCACCTCTCGGCCGTGTTCATTTAGTACATGCCAGAAAGAACTGTGCTCTGCGGGACAGACATTTCTCTACCATACACCCGTGGAGCGTGAGGAGATCATCCATAGCAGGAGCAATCCTTACCAAAACAATGTAGCTTGCCTCAGAATTGCTAATCCAATGTTTCTAACAGACTGGGCCATTGCCTAGGACATACCGTTGGTCAAATACCGAGAATTTTCGGACAACCTTCGTGCGAGGGACTTCGTTTCTGGTCCATAAAGTAGTATGGACCAGTGAATCGCAGCCTATATTCTACCCTCAAAGACAAACTGACCTCACGCCAACGACAGAGGGGGCGAGATATAACAAGTGGTTAGAGCGCGAATTTACTAATCGGGAAGTCCGTGGTTCGAACCCTGTGCCTCTCGACTTCCCCTGTCTAGGCTTAGGCAACCTGGTAATATCCCAGCCCTCATGCAACCTTCGGGTGGCGTGGCAGCTAGGCACCGAAAGGGTGTTAAAGGTGAACGATTTTTTTCAAAGACAGAGGTGTCGAAGGTTGACAGAAACTGTCCTGGCCTCCGGGATCCGTCGGACTTGATCGTTCAGCTCCAGGTTGGATGACTAACTTCACCCGCTGAAATGACAGTTACCATTCTTCTTGCTGATCGATGTATTCGCGACAAATCTCTCGATAAGACTCGCCTTTCTCAGCTTTATAGATGCGTTTTATTGGGGCGTTTGTCGACACCGTTTATCCCTTCGACCAGCATTAATCTCAATTGAACTATACGGCGCAAACAACGCTGTTTATTGGAGTTAATTTCAACAGAATGCCCTCAACCCTGGGACTGAGTACAACTCGCACAAAACAGATACAGAGCCGTTGCATGAAGATCACCAGATACCCAAAGCATGAAGTGTGAATGTGGAACCACTTACGGCGCCCTCAACCGACTGAGTACAACTCGCACAAAACAGATACAGAGCCGTTGCATGAAGATCACCAGATACCCAAAGCATGAAGTGTGAATGAATGTGCACTTACGGCCTCGGAGGTTTACGACTGCATAGGTTCCCTCAAGCGCCACAGAGCTCCCGGTCCGGATGACCTTCCACCCGCACTGTTCAAAGACGGCGGTGAAGTCCTCAGTCAGCGCTTGTCCGATCTGTTTGCTTGCATTTGGGAAAAGGAGTCT